GGCTCAGGAGGCAGGATTGTTAGTATTATTAGTATTATAGCAAGATACATAGTTTTGACACTGAATGCAAGTGAGTGCTATTGATTGTTGTCTAACTTTTGGACAAGAAATTAAATAAATGCATGCCTCACACTATTCATTTCTGTAGTCGATCTTATTATGGAAGCTATACTACAGTGCAGGCAACCTCTCTGGATAGACAAATGTCTGCTCTTGACCATTTTCATCACTTCACTTTACACGGATCAGCTGTGACACAACTGTTTAATTCTTTTTGTCTGTCTTTTTTCCTGTGCTCAGCTGTCCTTAATTGCCAACCATACAGAGAGAACGAGAGGTGGCAAAACTTGGCTGCAGGTTTCTATTGTTTTCTGTGTCGTGGGCCCACCCATGCTCAACAATCGCCCTGTCTGGCTGCTTGTCCACTTTCCTTCCTTCCTTCCTTAGTGACCCCAGATTGGCTGAGCTGAAATATTGCCATGGCAATGGGAGTTTCCCCAGTAGGGCCAAAGAGTTTGGCAAGAAAGATGACTTAAATCTTACCTGCACACTTGAAAGATGCCGTGTGATGGGAGAGGAATTCTTGGAGGTAGAGGTTCAGGTTACAGGATTTTAAGTCCACATCCCATGACCGAATACCTGACAGCAAGAAAGTTAGAGGCTATACTGTCACATGGTGCAATGTGATAAAAGCCTACACATGTCCAAGTATTCGCAAAATATTAAAACTGGCTGTTATAATCGTAGCTATCCCATAGTATATTTTATTTCAATATTTAATGCATTCAACCAAATCTGCTCTCTCTTTTTAACATAGTACAACGAGTATCATTGTATCTTGCAATCTGTCATATAAACACGATAAAGAGTCTGTAGCATTTACTTTCAGCTAATTATACACATTAAAAACCGAATGTACCATCTTATATTGTACATGTAAATGTATTTTCTGTTTTTAGCTGACAAGTGAGGAGAATTTGAGGTTTTTCTTTGAAACACGTGACAGTCAGCTGAATGTGGTTGGCTTTTAGACTGCTAAAGACACATGATGAAGACTGAAAAACTGGAGGACACTATAGCAGATGATTTTCCCAATCTGTAGGACAAACAGTTGTTAAATTATTATTTTTATGATTAACCGATGAAGAAATAATCTTTAGCTACAGATGTACATTCAAAAAACTGGGCTGTTTGTTCAGTTCATGAAAAGTTGATGACATTTTTGAAGTACATAGCTTTCACCAGAGTGTAATGAAATGTTAATTGGCCCAGTTAGCTACAGTGCAGGAATATGAGTCAGTCTGTTTTTCTATCTGTGTCTGTCCTCCTGGTTTCTCTTCAATTTCCCTATCTATCCTGTTTTACATGAACTGTCTGCTACACATGCTGGCTTCCATAAAATGTCTACAGCTGCAAAACAGCAAAGCAATAAAACATAGACTGTAATGGATCGTTATGAGTACGCACTGTCTGGTCTGCAGCATCCACAATTACAGCTGTGCATAAATGCACAAAGGTTAATGGGACATCGCTTACAAGTGGCTGTGTGTGGACTGAAAATCCCCGGCGCAACATTTCCCTCAAAGCTTGTCCTTACATAACTAAAAACTAAAACTGAGGCGAAAGGCAAAGCACCCACTCCAGACAGCTTTTAATTATAATGTGTCCGGAGGGATGAGGGGGTGATGCTGATGGTGGAGTGTCGCCAGATGACGCATCCTCGGTCAGTACGGTGGGGAAAAATTGCATAAAAAAAACTGCAGTGTGCTCAGTATATCACCGCAAGTGATGATTTGGGCAAGAAGAACTTGCAGGAAGCTGTTTTTTTTGTAATACAATTGTATAGGAAAAAGCAAAATGGCATACAGCAGCTATTGGACGCGGGCTGAAATAAACCTACCTCGCTCTATCTCCCTGCTGATGTGTTCCGTCTGCCTGAGGCGAGCGGTCCGTCCGATTATGATGAGCAGGGAGTATTTATGGAGGCAAAAGTCGAGGTTTGCGGTAGCGGCGCGCTTCGGCTCCTCCTGGACCTCCCTCTCCAGCACCCGGCTGGACGCCATGTTGGAAAATTGCGCTTCTATGTGATGTCATTGAAAAAGCCTGACAGCGCCTTTTATTACAGGGATGACAGCTGCTGTGCTGGAATTCAGCCGCGCATCAGTGAATGGGCAGGAAGAGGCTGAATTATTGATCACACGTGGCAAAGGGATCAATATCTATTTTTATTAATCGCCGATCCCATTGTAAATTACTTCCATGTATATTTTATAATATCCCATGCAATCTTATTACCGCAAAGGTGCAGCAGTAACACTCTACAGACCCTTGAATTCAAGTTCATTTATTAGTATTTTCATCTTACAAATCTATTTATAAACTAACTGTGCGGTATTTCCAACAATCAGGGGAAAAGAAATAAATATAGTAAAATATTATGACCAAAAAAAGTCTTCCACAAGATGCCGCAATGATTAACACAATGATGTGACACAATAATTAACACGGACGAGAGAAATAAAAATTAAAACGACAGACTCACAAAAACTCTTATTCATAACAGTCAATGTTTATAAAGGCAAAAAAAGTCACATTCTACAGCATTTTATTTTCTATCACAAATGTATTGAACAGTAGAAGCAGACCTTCCTGTCATTTCTCACATTCATCTTTTTTTATCAGCCCTGAACTCTTTCGTTATTTCTTGTACTTCTGTTATCTTTTTTTCCCTCATCACAAACATTTCAGAACATAGAAGTTACAAGTAGTCCCCCGTGGACAGCTACACAGCGTGCCAATACGCGCGCCTTTACGCACGGCGCACGGCTCCCCTGCGTCACACTGAAAGGGTAACATAAAATTAGTACACTGTAGACAAAACATTGTAAATTTTTTGCGATTTATAGAATTTAAAAATCTTGATTAGATAAAAACAAACGTCTAAAAATCCTAATTTTTTTCTGACTGTTGTAAATTCAGAGAATCTTAAATAAGAAAATGAAATCTAACAGGTTTCGTGCTGTTTTATTTCTCATTTGTCTGCTTACCGAAGGTAACCATCCATGCTTTTTCTCCAAGGGCATCTCTTTGCTCCTCAGCTTCTCCAGAACTTCTTGCAATGCGTCAATCTGCACAGGGGGGGATAAAAAGTCATATTATCAAAAAACGTTTACTATGGACTTTGTTTTTAAGAAAATTGTTGTTCAAATAATTTAAATACCCTAAATACAGAAAAAAAAATCAACATCCTTCTTTATACAAATTAAATCGACTTAACCCACATCCCCAACAAAAGCTCTCACCAAGTCTTTCTCTTGTTGAGTTTTCAGGGTGAAATCCAGTGAGCGCGTCTCCAGTGAGGAGTCCTCTGCGCGAACGAGGTACAGGTAGGCGTAGCAGCAGGTGACCGCGAGGAGGAGAGTCCGCGCACTGACCATTGTGTTCAGACACATAAAGGAGGAGTCCTTCTCTTCAGCGGGTGGAGCTCTTTTCCAGTAGACAAACACTTCTTTGGAGTGTGGAGGATGGATGTCTTTTGTCCACAGAAACTGTCTTTATAGGCTCTTTGCAAGTGCTGCTGACATCAGCCAGTCTTTGAAATATTCATGGAAACTTTGACATGGATGACACTGCTCGGCACCTTTGCATCTTTAACAGGAAGCGATAAGAGAAGAGAAAGCCAAACGTCGATGTGAGACATTAAAATTTGTGAAAGTGATGATGAAACCAAAGAGTAATTAAACTCCTTTATCTAAAACTTTTTATCCCAGTCTTCCAATCAATTTCAGTTAACTGATCCCATTGAATTCCCAACAAATCACATTTTTTTCCACCTGTTTCTGTGGCCTTTTTGGTTAATCACATATCTGACTCACTGATGCGTCACATTGATGTGTCAGAGTGAGAAATCAAGTAAAACAGCTAATCTGCATTTTGATTGCACAGTTATCGAAATAATAAAACAACAAAAAAGACAACAACAGAATTGTTTCCAATTTTTGAAAGTGGTGTTTTGCAAAGCCCTGATAATTTCACTGAAAAATACAATTTACTGCGTAAAATGCACAACAAGGAATCCACTGGGGAGATTTTATGACTTGCATTTGACACTATAAATTACAGATTACCAATGAAAAGGTTAGGAATTTACAATATTAGCCTAATGGGATAGCACACCCGTGGCCACAGTTATCTTGATGATAAGGGTCAGTATGTGCAAACAAAATATCTGTTTTGGTGTAATTTAACTTTTTTCTTTCAAGTTTGCTATTGGTGAAGTCTAATAAATGTGCTCTCATTCAGAAAGTAGACCCTAAAAGGGTAGTTCTAAAAATTAAAGGCTTCCATCTATACATGGTGTTGTCTCATTTTAATTCAATTCTTTGTCTTTAAAAAATAGTAATAATAGCAGAAACAAAAGTCCTTAATCTTAAAGTCAAACTTTATTCATATCTTATTCTTATTTAACGATCTGCCCTTCTGATGTCACTGCTGTTCTGCAAAGTTTAAATCAGACAGGCTGACCAACACAGAGACCAATATGTAATCAAGATACAATTTCCTTTTGTAGGAATAACCTTAACCCTCCCCTTACCCTCCCAAGAGTAATGGGAATGAATATGTGAGGCTTTCAGGCTTCTGTTTACACACCAAACCATATTACTGACCCCCATATCACTGACAAATCGTTTTACGCCATTTACCATGCTGGTCATGATCCCTTTCACTATGTTGGAAAAAAAAAAAGACAAAGCAGACAGCACCTGAGGGCCCTGTTCAATATATAAAGCTTATATGAGTCATTCAGGTAGAATGGCAGCAAAGGATAAAGGGATTTGGGGGGTTTGAAGGAGAGAACTGTAAAAATCCAAGTAATTCAAGTCGTTATACATGTATTTCCCTTGACAATGATTTTTTTTTATAATAAATGTATTCAATATCCATTGTTAAAATATTTTGTTGTTGCTGTTGTTTCTCACTTTTACCGCGCGGGGGCGAGCGCAATTTGGAGGAGGGAAGCAATTGAACAAGCAACCGGAAGCTTATCTTGCAGTTTACAAGAGGTGTTGCGACTTTCCAGCGTTTTTTTCTGTACGTTTGGGTAACAGCAACAGTAAAAAATGTCCGAAAGAAAAGTATTGAATGTAAGTATATGAACTCTAAAACTGGTACTTCACTGCTGTTATTAAAATACTATAGGACCAGAGCAGGTTGGCGTTAGCATTGAAGCTAAGTGTGGCGTTTTTTATAGTTTGTTTAATTTAACTAAAAGCTGGTAGGTAGCGTTGCTTTTTCAACTACTGTTACTACGATAGTGTGTATCAAGACTATATTGTAATAAAATTAGACATTATTAGTCTAATGGCTACAAGTTTGTAAGCTAACCTATGTGTTTTGCTATCCACAGAAATACTACCCTCCGGATTTCGATCCGTCCAAAATCCCGAAGCTAAAGCTCCCCAAAGATCGTCAGTATGTGGTCAGATTGATGGCTCCATTTAATATGAGGTATGCTTGTCTTACCCACGTATATCTAAGAAGTTGTTTCCTGGTTACACTTCTGAAGTTTAACTTTCTTACAATGAAATGCAGCTAATGTTGTAAAGGATGCTGTTATGAATACACAACCAAACAACATGCGAGAAGGCGAACAAAAACGCCCCCTGGAGCGTTATGAATGGACTGGTACCAACAGTTGTGGTCAGACATATACACTCATCATAGGAATGACTGTCATGGTAATTCTGGGCTTTTAATGAACATGCAAAACAATCTTTAGATCACATTCACCCACTCAGACACAGCCACTGTAGTAACCTGGGACCTCATGACTGTTTGCATACTTCGGTTCACATCAGTTTCAGAGATTTAACAAATAGGATTTTAAACAGTGGGATGTGTTTAAAAAAGTAACATCTACTGTTTTTAATAACTCTGGTAAATGACCTTCATCCAGCACATAATAATAATCTTTTAACATTTTTTCCAGTTTCAGAAAAAATGAGCGTATATCATGCTCTTGGAATGACTATATGACACAAACATTGTATTTTTCAAGTTGTTGGAGAAGGTAGAGCTGTTTTAGAGCTTTCTTTCCAAATAGAGACTTCCAGGTCCAGTTTATTCATGGCCTTAACATATATATTTCTGCTTTTTAGTGACTTAAGCGTACAGTGTTAAGGTTATTTCTAACTGTCAAAGCAGGAATCTTGGTTGGTTTGGTTTATATGAATGTAAGTCTATTCATTAGATATATGGCTTATTTGCAGTAAAACAGGGTTGCTGCTCACTTATAGGACCTTTTTTTGGCTTCTCTAAATTACTCCTGTCACTACAGTGTCATCATTTCTTCTACTTTGCAGGTGTAAAACATGCGGTGAGTACATTTACAAGGGGAAGAAGTTCAATGCACGCAAAGAGACCGTTCAGAATGAGACCTACATGGGACTGCCTATCTTTCGTTTCTACATCAAATGTACCCGCTGTCTTGCTGAAATTACATTTAAGGTAAGTGTGAATGATCTGATCATCGAAGTTGCAAGAGATATCTCAGAGATATCACTTATATTGGGCATAAAATACCCGTTGACAATGCTATATCTTATGATGACGTCATAGACTGACCCAGAGAACACAGACTACGCCATGGAGCACGGCGCAACGCGGAACTTCCAGGCAGAGAAACTCATTGAGGAGGAGGAGAAGAGAATCCAGCAGGAGAGGGAAGAAGAGGAACTGAACAACCCCATGAAGGTTAGTGTTTTAAAAGTCATCCTCTGTTCTTACTTAAATTGGCACATGAAACACAGAATGAATGGTTTCCCAATCCTCGACCAGGTGCTGGAGAACCGCACAAAGGATTCAAAGTTAGAGATGGAGGTTTTGGAGAACCTGCAGGAGTTGAAGGAGCTGAATCAGAGACAGGCTCTGGTGGACTTTGAGGGAATGATCGACCAGTACAGAGAGATGGAGAAGAGGGAGCGGGAACGGGAGAAAGAGGAGGATGAGCGTGAAATGAAGTGAGTTGTGCATGCTCAGAAAAATTGTCTGATTTTTTTTTTTTTTGAACAATCTCAAGCATGTTTCATATTTAATTGAAAATGTTTTTTGCTATAATATCTAATACATAGCTAGATGTATATGTGGAAATTTAAAATTACACTGTGCTTTGTTCAACAGGGAGATGTTGGATCGTGCTCTCGTGAAAAGACTCAGAGAGTCTGACTCTGATTCAGAAACAGAAGAAGAGAGCAGCAGCAAACAGTCAAACAAGTCCAGCTCAGACAAACCAACAGACATCCTCACTGCTGACAAACCAACAGAGGCAGAGGTCTGTATAGCCACCCACATGTGACATATCTAAATATCTGTCAAGATTATTTAGTCATAATCCTCAAGGTTTCAGTGACTGCCTCTTCATCTTCCTGTTTTACCTCCAATGTTTCAAAGTTTGAATAAAGAACTATGATTTTCATTTTATAGTTTAGAGTCTGGAGATCAATATATTGAGCTGGGTTTTCATAAACCCAGTCACCTAACACAGACCTCTCATGACACATGTGAACGTGATCCAGAAATATGGCCATCTTCTGTGGCCCAAACCTAGCTTAAAATTGACTGAGGCAAAGTGAAAAGCAATAATGCTGAAAAGGTTTTCGAGTGAGCAACATATTCTTCCATCCAGACCGTGTCTTTCTGGGAGAGCTTTGCATATTTCAGCAAGACAATGCTGCATCTATTACAACAGCATGGCATTGTAGTAGAAAAGTCCAGGTGCTGAGCTGGGCTGCCTGCATTCATCAGTGGAAAACATCTGCACAGTCATGAAATGAAAAATATGGCAAAGACTGCTGAGCAGCTAGAATCTCTTATCAGACGAGAATGAGAGAAAATTCCTCTCCTAAAAGTCCAACAGCTGGTTGCTAACAAACTATTGTTAAAGACGAGGTGATACTACACAGTGGTTTTCAGTTTAAATGTTAAATATGATGTTCTGTTTTCATTTACATACTTTCTCAGCTTCTTTGGAAGAGGGTTTATATGTAAGGTTGTGGCAGTTAAGGCCAGTGACTTTCACAATGCTCATTGTCTTTAAATACAGAATTCCACAATCACAATGTACTTAATGAGAATTTTCTATGTGTTGCTGACCGAAAAGCTTTGGGCTGTGTTTTCCTCATCCTTTCTACAGGGAGCTTCAGCTGGAGGAGCAAAGAAGGCCAAGGTGGAGAGCTGGGAGAGGAGTGTCGGGACGCTGGGTGGTAAAGGAGCATTAGGTTCACTGATTGTCCGAAAGAAACCAGTAATGACTGTGAGCAAACCCAGTTCAGTAACGGAAACTGCTGCTCCTATCTCACAGACAGGTAACACATCGGTATCCTGCACACTTTAGCCTCTTTTATTTGAAGTCTCTGGCATTTTGTACTTGACTTTTGTTTTTCTCTCACCAAACTATGTCCTTCGTGTTGGTACTTGTTCACATCTTTAATCAAAAGTTAGCTTTTTTTTCATTGTAAGATAGTCTTTGTTTGTCTTGTTTTTCAGATTCAAAGCCAGCGAAGACAGACGCTTCTAAACCCGTCACCACACAAAATGGGTCATCATCCCTCAGCCTGTTGGGGGCGTATTCAGACAGTGACAGCAATGACAGCGAATGAGAACAAGATGACTCAAGTGACTGACATACAACTATATGTATTGTGCAGAAAGGAATACAGTGCTTAAGCCCTGTTTGTAATGCTGTACAGATATTGAAATCTCATATAAATCAGCTTAAGGATTCCCCCCCCGTTCTTTAAATCCAGTCAGATCCACAGAAAAATGGGTCTGTTTGTCCTGTGACTATACCACCTGTATATTTTAATGTTTATTAAAATGTCTGTACTGTTTGTATGTAGCATTTTTTTTTAACTCCGTGTCTTAAAAGCATATTATAATGCTGGTGTTTCCAAGCCAGCAGAGAAACATATGTGCAACATATTGGGTTATTTCTCAGCTTGTCCTTGGTCTTGAGGTCCATGCCCTAAACGCACCACCAAAGAGCCATCTAGGTCCAGGAGGGGGCATCCTAATCTAGTCTCCAAACCAATTCAACGGACGTCTTTCATTGTGGAACAGTAGAAGTTCTGCTCTTGTAAATGAACAAGCTCCCCACCTTGCCTCAAAGGGAGAGCCCAGACACCCTTCAAAGGAAGCTCATTTCAACATTTGACCACAAAGCCAAGATAAGTCAGTAAATCAGTAATCCAAATTCATTTGTGTAGTTTTTTTTCCCCCCTCCACAGACAGGATTAACTGGATTTAACTTTCATTTCATATACATAAGCTGGCTCCACCTCAGGCAGCCAGCATTATTAAAAATCAAAATGCATACTGTAGTCTAACTCAGAGCCCAGAATAAATTAAGTAGTTGTGGAATTGTTCCAGGGTGGAATTATTGTACAGCATCTTTAATGATTTTTGTTAAACAAAGTTGCACCTTAGCCATACTTTTCTTCTAGCCATCAACAAGCTTCTGGCAAGATATTTGATCACTGTTTTTGGTAGAATTAGTGCAGTGAATTTTGTTGATTTCCTCACACCAACCCCGCTTTTAAGCATAGTTCGCAAATTTCCAGCGGGACTGAGGTTTACTTTGGGAAGGCCGTTCCAGAAGCTTAATTTTAGCCTGCTTTTTCCGTTCCCATAGGACTGTTGTCCTATGGGAAAGCTAGACCCAACTGTGTCTAGCTTTTGAGTTGAGGTGAAGTAGAAGAATGTGGAGGTAGGCCTAGTTCTTTGCACTTTGTGAAATGAACTAGTTCAACTGACAGCAAAACAGCTCCAGAGAATGAACCACCATCATTTACATTTGGTACCCTACAGTGTTTTTATATTTGAAAGTCTCACCTCTGCTCCTCCAAACATACCTCTTGTAATTGTGGCCAAATCGGTCAGACTTTCTCTTGCCTGACAATCCATTTTTTTCTCCAGAAGGCATTTGACTTGTTCATGTGGTCAGCTTCACATTTCAGTCAAGCTTGAAGGTGTTGATTTTGGAGTAGCTGCGTCTTTCAGCACCCTCTCCGTCTACAGATATGTAAAACTGTCTTCGCTGTGGACCGTGACACTGTTTCAACAGTTTCCAGTTCATGGCAGGCATGAGCCCAGGTGCTTCTTGGGTTGTTTCTAACATCTTAACCAATTTTTTTCTCATCTGAGGATGACAATTTTGGTCTTCCTCCAGTCCTTGGCGATTACGTACAGCTGTTTGAAGTGAAATCTTGGAATATGCAGTTATTTTGAAGTGGTTCCGAAATACCTTTGCCTCTTCTATGTAATTTTCTTTCTTATTTTCACTGAGTTCCTTGGACTTTTCTATTGTTATGAGAATTGGTCAATCCAATGTGCGTTGTCAAATAAATCCTTTATATGCTGGCAAAGAGAAACTACCAGATGTAGTCGATTGTGATTACCAGTGAGAACTTAATAGGCCATGGCCAGTTAATAGATGCTGTAGAACCTTCAAACACCACTTATTAAAATACATGGTGAGTGTATTTATATATTTAAGGCTGTATGTCTATTTTTGACCCAGTGTGGATTAGAAAAAGCAAAAATAGATTAAAAATCTTCACCCAATTTTTGTTTTTAAAAATAATTAAAGTTGTATGCAGTACAATCATTTAAAGCCCAATTCAAAGTTCAAAGATAATCTAAAATTTAGCATATGTGAACAATGTTGCAGGTTAAAGTTCACAGTCTACACTCTTCAGTGTAGAAAACAGATGAAAAGCAAAATATTCCACGATGGCGGGGATTATTTTTGAAAGAATGGAGGAAAAGGATTATTCACAGCGCTGCAGCTTAAACAGTGGATTAGGCACGGTTCGTATGACTTTAATGTCGACTCACAAAAATAATGAACAAATAAATAAATAAATAAATGTGTGTCCCCTCCCCTTTAATCCAGTCCGCCGTGGCTCTGAGTGGTGTGTCGGAGACGGTCTGCTCCAGTGTCTCCTCTGGTCTGGCTAGCATTAGCTGTCTGACCTGCTTGGCTCCGAAGCAAATTTTAGCGATTGCATGTTTTATTTTGAGGCTGGACAGCATTAACACTAAAACCCGGATGGTAACCACAAAGACATAACTGGAACGGGTGACCGTCAATGCAAAGAAAAAGGGTGAGCCTAAAGAAGTAACGTTAGCAGAAACTGACGGTAGCTGCTACTCGGCTAATTTAGCTTAGACATGTTAACACTGCAGTGACTCATATTTAACTGCACAGCTCAATACTCCAACTCATAACTTCTTAAACTAAAAGACAGTAGGATTCGTTAGCTGTTAAGCTCTTTAAGAGTATTTTTAGGAGGGAAATGCTACCCTTAATCCAGTGTTATGAGAAAGTGATTGATTGAACACCTTTAATTTACAACCTAATGCTAACTAGCGATTGTCAGTGGACGCTGAGATCTGCTTTGCTGTTTATTAAACCAGAGGAAATCTTATGCAAGCTAACCACATGGGTTTAAGATTAGGGGTTAATCTTGCCTAACCTGTTGAGTATATTGTTGTAACAATAGCTCTCTGTTTTGGGGGTGACTTTGTCAGGGAATATAAAAACAAAGGTGGAAGAAATTTGTGCAGATTTGTGCATTTCTGTTAAGTAAGATGGTGCAGCTGAAATGGCCAATTTAATAATCACTAAACAGTCCCTACAATGTGATATTTACTACTTCATCCCCACAGATCCATGGCAAAGTGGCTGAAGGACTACCTGAACTTTGGCAGCAGGCGTGATCCTCCACAACCCCCGAGACCAGATTACAGCGAGAGCGAGATTTTGAGGGCCTACAGAGCTCAGAAGGAGCTAGATTTTGAGGACCCGTACCAGCACACTGATAAGGAGCATCAGAATGGCGGTTTCGGCTCCTGTAATGCCACTGTGAGCCTTCCCTCTTTCCCTGCATTTGGTTCAGCGCTGCCTAATGGTGTAGAGGTATGACTTGGACTCCTTTTTTTACAGTCATGCGCACATGCAGCTTATGTTCCCTCCTCAAAAAAGCCATGTGTCCCTACATAAATTGCCTCACAATGACCACTTTTAAATGCACATGCTCCAAAAAAGATATGCGCCTGTTTGGGTGATGTTCGATTCATTATCTAATGTGTTCTCTATCCATGTCTTACATTTAGGTAAAACTTGTGTCTCCAAAACACAGACTGATTAAAGTGGACTCTCAGGAATTTGGTCGCTGTAAAGTCCCTCTGAGCCCTGTGACTGTTCAGGAGGAACCTGTAAGCATTGTTATTTCAGACAATCACAATCTCAAAACACTGAGGTCCAATGTCATTGCATTTAATTTGTGTAATTCGCTTTGTTTCTATCCCCCCCATTAAGGTGGTTCCCTCTGCCCCAGCAGCGTCAGAGGCCGACGCAGATTACTCGGATCCTTTTGACGCACATCCACACCCAAGAGCCAGAACAAACTGGGAGCCCAAATCTGCACCAGCAGACTGCTGCAGTTACATGGAGCCATTTGAGGCCCAGCGAATCATTTCAGGTTTCCTCTACATAAAAGTTGATACTTGTATATGGTGAAATACTTACCGTACCATAAATAATTCACATTTATTGTGCATTTTATTGAGGTACAAGTGTTTTGGGAAGAAATACTTACCCAATTCTTAGGAGGGGTAAAGGTGAAAAGTTTTCACCTTCTGTGTTTCCTGTGCAGAACTACAGCACAACATGATGGCCAACCGGTCTGGGAGTGGAGATGGCAGTCAGCTATATGACAACCCATATGAGGAGAGGACTCGGTACCACCATCGAGCTGGTCCACCTCAGAACGTTGAGGGTGGGGTGATAGACAGCAAGGAGAGCAGGCTGCCTCAGGATGACGAGAGGCCGGCTGATGAATACGACCAGCCGTGGGAGTGGAAGAAGGACAACATCTCTAAAGCCCTAGCAGGTAAATTGGGGATTTCCTGGTATCTGTCAGTGCGCCCCAGGGTGGCTGTGACTACAATGTAGCTTGCCATCACCAGTGTGTGAATGTGTGTGTGAATGGGTGGATGACTGGATGTGTAAAGCGCTTTGGGGTCCTTAGGGACTAGTAAAGCGCTATACAAATACAGGCCATTTATTACAGTTCTGTAGCTACTTGTCTTTGACGTATCATTTTCTCTCTGTGTGCCCATAGTTCAGTTTGAAGGGACTGAAAGAGAGCGATCACGAGGTCACACAGAACAGTCCAGGCTTACCATGACAGGCGCCACATCAGAGGCAACTACACTCCGTCTTGTAGGTGACACTCCTTCGCTCTTGGGAGAGAGGGTGGATCCATCTCTGCCGCTGGAGAAGCAAGTGTAAGTTGAGATTCACAGTCTTAACCTTTGATGTTGGCTTTACTAGTTTTCTTTTTCTTTTTTTTATTCTACTTCCAAAAAATAGCAGTCTTTCTTGCACAACATACCCTTCCACTTTCATCATTCTTCTAAGTAATTAATTGTCTTTTGTTTTTAAGTGAAGTTCCTCAAAATCTTTGGGTTTTTTTGTTGTTTGTTTGTTTTTCAAAATGGGGGGGAAAGGTCATTCAAATAAACCAAAACATAAAACGGCCTTGAACTGGTTTAAGTTCAAGACCGTTGGTCCAGACATGCATCGTCTTGCATTTA